ACTGTGTGAGGACTCGGTACTTTTAAAGCAAAGTATTTGTAATGATCCATAATGAATTCCTTCTAATATCTTTTATTAATAAAACAAATGGAAGTGATGTGGCAAGTAAACTGGAAGGCTCTCATTCACTGCTCTTGTGTGGAGCGCATGAGACACAGGCTGCCACTCATCTCTGATAAAATATGCTGTTACGGTGACATAAGATTATATGGATGTCCGCACAGCACACGTTACAGCCGTCCTACCCGTTTTCTTTAGTGATTTTATAACTTCGGTTTTAGTCTCATTGTAGAGACGGGGGGGGTCGCTGTGTCAGTAAAATATCTTTGAGACGGGACGTGTGCAACATAGCACAAAAGCCCTGCTTCTCAACGACTGAGAACCGGTGTGCAGACTGCAGGTCACATAGCAACGCAATTGCGCCTAGCTAGTAGCAAACAAAAAGGCACTGAGAGGATGAACATTTGGAGACAAATAGACTTATTCGAATTTATAAGAACCGCAGTTAGTTTCCTGATACGTTAAATCTGCAATGAGAGACTGTCAAACACTAAAAAGTGGCGAAGCTGAAGTCGGCTTCTCTTTTGAATTTTCCCGGCCCACCTTAAATGGTGCTGCATTTACATTCTGGCACCTCAGGCAGAATTTAAGATGGAACAGAAAAATTCAAACAAAAAGCTGGAGAATAAGAAGCGACTTCAGCCTCGTAAAACAGTGGAACGTTGAGAGACATTTTACAAGAAACTATTCAACTTTTGAAGAAAAGTTTTCTGGTGGACATACTGACACATACCGGACATGAAATGTTGTGGCTCCCAGAGTGGTTTGATTTTTTTGTTGAAAGGACAAAATGGCTCTTCTTAACATTGGACTTGCGACTCCTGATCCAACCTGGATTTAATGCAGAGGGTGCCGGTCGGATTTCTCGCTCATCCAGTAGTGTTTTTGTTATGTGTGTGTCACAGACTGTCTGGGCGCTGCACTTCCACACTTACAAGTTCCGCCTTTTGCGTTCTGTCAACATTACGTTATAAATTAAAATGTAGAAAATCGATTTTTGACATTAGTGAATCGATTCAGAATCGTTCAGGTCTGCAACGCAATGCATCTAAGAATCGATTTTTCCCCCCACCCCTACATGAGACAGTCACACAGGCTATATGTTATTTTCAAGAGGCCTTAGTCTATTCAAATATGCCATTATTTCACATAGAAATGCTAACAGAATTGTAATATCTTTGTGAATTTGGCTAAGTTTTGATAAGAAAAACGACCTGCAAAATTTTGTGAATTTTTGCTTATATGGAACTTGAAAATAAGTATCACCTCAGATACCTTTTCAAAAATTGTTTGTCTAGAGTGTCTAGAGTTGAAAATGTTAGAACTTTAATAGTGTTTAATTCTGTGGCCTATTATAGAGTAAAAATAAATAATTAGCATAAGGCAGACATGTTTTTATTGCTTTTTTATTGATTGATTCATGCTGAGTTTAAAAACTCTGATACACAGCAACACAGGCTTTATTTTTAATTTCAAATAGAGTTGTATGTTTACAATCAACTGTTTTTAATACTCAAAGATGGAGCTAAATATGATTAGTTTGATCAGAATATTTATCATATTTATTGTTATTTAGCTGTTAAAATGCATTATTGGGCCTGCTTTGTTGATTTCGAGTAAAAAATTTGAAGTGCACTCAGTCTAGTAGACTGGAACTCATGTATTAAATGGACATCCATGCAGGATTTGAATGGTGGTTTTCTGACCTGGATAACTGACTGAAAGTCTACTCAATCTCCATAAAGCCACTCTGGACACACAGAGTAAGTCCTGCTGATTGCTGAAGGCTGTTTTGGTGATTGCTTTGATATGAAATGTGAAAGTTAGTTTATGAAAATGCCAAGATTTCTGACTTGGTCTTTGGTTTTTAGAGCCCGGGAATTGAGGTCTTCACTAATATGAAGTTTCTTCTTTTTGTTGCCAAACACAATTATCTCTATTTTTCCCTTTTGAAGAAAATGTTGCCTCATGCAGTGACTTACGTGCTCCGTACATAGAGGTAGTGAGTGTATTGGGCTATAATTATCTGGTGAGACAGCCAGATATGTATGTGTATGGTCTATATAACTATGGTAATCAGTGTTGTTGTTCTGAAAAATTTGGCCCAAAGGGAGCATATAAAGATGCAGCAAAAGGTGCCCAAAAACCGATCTCTGGGAGATTTCGCATGTCATAACCACCTTATCACACTCACAGGTGCCAATGGTGACAAAGTAACTCCAGCTTTCTAGATAAGGCCTAAATTGATTAAGGACTGTTCCAGACAGTCCTGCCCAATTTTCCAACCTGTCCAGAAGTATTTGATGATCTACAGGGTCAAATGCAGCACTAAGATCTCATAATAGCAGAACTGATATTTTGCCTGAGTGAATATTCAGTTGTTTATCATTTAACACTTCTATAAGAGCAGTTTTAGTACTGTAGTGAGATTAGAAGGCTTATTGAATGTTTCAATTATCTTAGATATTAAGGAAGAATATACAGAAGCATATATACCCTGTTCTTCAGTGGTCAGGACCCCCATGGACCCTCACAGAGCAGGTACTATTTGGGTGGTGGATCATTCTCAGCACTGCAATTACACTGACATGGTGGTGGTGTGTTACTGTGTGTTGTGCTGGTACGAGTGGATCAGACACAGCAGTGCTGCTGGAGTTTTTAAACACTGTGTCCACTCACTGTCCACTCTATCAGACACTCCTACCTTATCAGTCCACCTTGTAGATGTAAGGTCAGAGAAGATAGCTGATCTGCTGCAGCACATTTTGTGTCGGTCATCCTCTAGTCCTTCATCAGTGGTCACAGGACACTGCCCACAGGACGCTGTTGGCTGGATATTTTTGGTTGGTGGACTATTCTCAGTGGTTTAATGGGGGATTTTTAAGATAAAATGTCTGATGGATGTGATTTTCTGCAGATTAGTTGCTACAGAGTTAAAAATATTCACAGTGTGTTGAGAAAACATGATGACTAAGATGTTGAATCATTTTTTTCTAGAGTTTTTGGTCAACTGTATTAAATTGTGACTTGATAATCAAGTAATTTCTAGGTGGTAATAAAGTTGGCATAGTTTCATTAATTGAGTGTGGTGTTCAATCAGTCTGTTTTAAGGGGTTTGTTAACTTCTTAACTTTCAAACATGAAAAGTAGAGTTCCTGTTAATAATGTAAGAGAAATGTAACTGTCTAGCTCTGCAAAAAAGTTAAAAGTACAAAGACTTTGTTTGCTTTTCTCCACTTACCTTCAGCTTTCCTGCAATCTATATTTAGGGCTTTTGCGAGCAAGGTGTTTCTCCGCAGAGTTTCCGAACTTTTACAGGCGCAACAACATCCATGACATCAGAAATTTTCAAGTTCAAAATGATCCAGTAGCACATCAACTGACTCCATTAACTGAGCACTAGTACTCCCATTTATGTACTTTTTCTCAACACAAACAGTGCTTGTTTGAATATCTGGAGAGATCAGTAAATTAAAGAAGATACAGAAATGATCAGAAAGGCCCGAGTGCCTAACCATCGTGGCAGAAGTGTCAAATAGTTTCTAGCTATGCTATGGCCTCACTTTCTTGCTCTCTCTCTCTCTCTCTCTCTCTCTCTCTCTCTCTGCTTCTCCTTCTAGCTTGTTTTCATTTTTTTGTCACAGTCCATAGAACACCGATACTGCTGGTTTTGTATACAGTATCCTTATTCCTATTGTTCTCAGTGCTGGCTGCAGATTTGACTTTTCACACTGAGTCTTATACATTAACCTTGTTACATATTCAGAATATTGACGTTGTCTAGCTGGCTGTTTTGTTTTTTCATTATCAGATGTCCTCAAATCTCCTTTTCCTATTTCACTACAACACCTTTAAAGGTGAATGTTGTGCGATATTGTATTACACTCCCATTTCCGAAAAGTAAAGCTTTGTCTAAAAGTTTACCCCTAGGTGCAATTACAGGGGCACATAACATGATGTAATAAAACTCTGTGTTCATAGTACTCAGGAAAAAAAATGAACGCTCTGTTTCAGTTACAGAGCCTAGATGATTAAAATAGCAGCACAGATAAAAGAGAATGAGACAAAGCCTATGAGAAAACAACACAGGCCTCACCACAACAGCTCTTCAGAAGCACCAGTAAGAAGAATATGCAGTTCAGAGATCGTATTTTTACTATCCACCTTCTCTAATCGGCAGCTAACATGAAAATGCAAACACACAAGCAGAGTAAAGTAAGAGAAAATACAGAAGTATTTGAAATCCACTGATTCGTGATGAATGAATGAGAATAAAGAGTTATAGTGATCTTAAATTTGCAGAGCATTTTACTAACCTTTCCCAATATAAACGCTACATTAATTTGGTGTTGCATGCATCTCCAGTATACTTATAAGTAAAAAAATGTGTTGCCAAACAAATTAGGCAGAATTTTTTCATCTTCCAAATACATCAGCTTCTTTTTTGCAAGAAAAATATTTTGTAATGTCTTTTGATGTGCAGGTTGGTAATGTACTTACTTGAAAAAAAAAAGTGATACTCTAATGTGGCAAGAAGAGCACCTTTGTTATTAAAGGCTACAGAGTGAATTTCAACAAAGCAATATTAACTTAATTAATGCCTCATATGATCCAAACTAGTATATACAGTTGATTTGATTTGGTAAAGAGAAGACTTTCTTGCTTTTAAAGGCCACCTGAACAGCACTGATAATGTTTTAGTTGTATCAGATAAACAGAATCAGAGAGTTATTAAAACAATTGTGGCATCAAAACATTTCAGAACACAATAAAGCTTTTATTATAGAAATATCGAAAATGACAGAACAGTTGAAATTCCAGAGTGCTGCTTAAACAGCTCTGTGCTTTCACTGTCCAATAAGAAGAGCTGGGCTGGTTACAGTGTGGTTGGTTAATGAAGTTTCACCCAGCAGCTGCATAATCAGGCTACAGTAACACACACTAATCTGAAGTTCAGTGGCTGGTTTAGTCAGTGATGGAGACATGGTGCCTCATAATATGTAAGTAATCTTTATTTTAATTAGTAGCTTTTCATTCCAGCTCTTGTTTTTATTAGTAGCTTTTCACTAAAATTATTTTTGTCTAAATTAACTTGACTAAGTAAACTTATACAAGCAATGTTAGCAAATTAAGGATCTCTGATGATTTTTTAAACCATTTTCTCATTAAATGTTTCAAACATTAATTTTTACCCATCAAACTCTATTTTTTCTTCTTCTCATCATCACTTTTTTCTACTGTTATTTTCTGAAGATGTTACAGTAATGATGACAGTATCAGTATCTCCAACAAAAGGTATTTTATTTCCCTTTCTTTCACTGATTACATCTTAATAAGTTCACAGAAATTCAATTTACTAATGTAATATGTTCACTGGTTTGTTTTAAGATTATTGATCAGAAATGTTATTGTTTTTGATGAATAGATGGTCATCCTGGTTTCTGGCCAGCAGAAATTTTTGGAAGCCTCACTGTGAAAGCTGGGGAAGATCTGCTGTTAAAGTGCAGCATCTTTGACAGAACTAAATCAAGTAACATTCTCAACATGTACCTGTTTAAAAATGGTGTTGCAGTGAGAATGGAGCTATTTGCACAGAAAGATGAGCACACCTTCATTTTGAGAAATGTTTCAGTGCTGGACTCAGGAAACTACAGTTGTGTGTACTCATGGAACAAATTTCCCCTGAAAAACATGAGCGCATCAGCACTAAAACTAGGACAAAAATCAATCCACGTCCAGGTCACTGGTAAGAAACATGAATTAAGTTTTCTCAAATAAAATTATGACAGTACAAGAAGTAAATCTCAGGTTAGGTCAGTCATGCTCAGTAAAATTTAAGAGAGTTTGAGTTCGTCTGAAAGTGAGTCTGAAAGCATCATAGCGCTAAATGCAATGCAATTTCATGGGTGCATGATCATGCCAAACATGTCTGTAACCCACAGTAGAGCAGGACAGAATCCATTTACAAATAAACAAAATGTCTGGTTAACAAACAGTTTCAAACCAGAGTTGGTGATGTGGAAACTTTCAATTTGTTACTTTCAAGACACTCAGTGCTAGATGTCACAATTTTGATCGCATTGTAATACACTACTTTAATTTGCCTTTTTATTACTTTGAATTTTAGTAATATCTTCAGTATTGTAACCAAATATGTAATGGAACTGTAAATCAATTGTGTTTGTTCATTAATATACAATGCTTTCTGACAGCTGTTGCTTGAGCACGGTTAACAAGGAAACACTTTAAAATTGCTTGCAAATTTGGCAGTTATGATTTGTTTCAGGGATCACACACAATTTTGCACATCTCAGTTGTAAATTTGTGGGATAATATTATCAATATTAGGAAAGTCCACGTTTAGTGTGCAGTCGTAATGTAAATGTGAACCCGGGGAAAGATAAAAGACATTGCTCTATTTTAGATGAAGCAAATGCAATATTTTTAACATTTCCAAGCATTTCTTACCCTAACATAGGTGACAAAAACATCATTTATATAACATTGTCTTGTTTTTCCTTTTTTCCTTATTAGTGGGAGAACATCCTCAGAAGAACATGAGCACAAATGAACAAAACGATGGCCAAGCCCAGTTCAGTGGTAAGAGATATGAGTCATGTTTCCTTTATAATCATATTAAACTATAAAGGTATAAATCTTCAACAAATTAGATTTTAGGATTGGAGGTGCCATGATATGTAAATATAATATAGAGTGCCATGATATGTAAATATAAACATTTAGTAAAAGTTTTTTTTATATTTTTTTTGCAAATAGCCACAGAAAAGTAATGTTACATGCTCCTTTCTGATTCCTTTGTTAATAATGGATAATATTTCTGTGTTCTGCCAACAGTTCCTCTGGAAAACCTGTTGATTCTACTTCTTGTTTTGTTCCTGGCTGTGATATTTTTTCTTGGAATGTACCGAATTACAGCCAAAATATTTACAAGTAAGTATTACTTTATTGTTTTTGCTAAGCAGGACTGAAGTCAGTGTAAAAGTACATAAAAATAAAACATATGAAACACATCCCAGCACAGTCACCCTCCAAATCCCAATCACACAACTCTTTAAAGCAGAACAGCAGCAGCAGCAGTGTCCTACAACAAACACTGGAGTTAATTAGGAGAAACTGCATCAGCCCATCAGAGCAAAGCACACCTGACACATTCTCCAGCCTTTTTCTATCATGTAAATATCTTATGAGAAGATTGTCCAATAACATATTTATCATTTTTGTCGTTGCAGAGTTGTGCCACAACCAAGAACAAAGGTATATTAAACATGTAATTAGCAGAATAACTGATGCTGGAGTGGAGCTGAGTGATGAATAGTTTTCATGCTGAAATCAAGAATGTCGTTTTAACAACTTTTAAGAGAGCAGATTCAGCCTAATGGAAACAAATGTGTGTGTATTGTCAATACCCACTGACAATACAACCACAATTACTGGTCAGCAGTCTGGCTTTATCTTTCAAATCATTAAAACAAACAAACAAACAAACAAACAATACTAAAAAGTCCTGATCCTGAATGCTCTGTTCTACTTATCATCAATTCATACTAACAATGCAAAAGCATAACTGTCAGACAATTTGCACTCACGCTAATAGCATTAGCTATTGTGACAAATAAGGAAATTCTCATCTTGTAACAAACATTCAACTAACATGCTCTTTACTAAAAGCAACTTTAGAAAACTTGATTTTAAAGCTTGTTTCTGAATAGTATAAGAGGAGGCTGGTGGCCAAAAGTATTAGCGTCCTCTTTTGAGTTACAAGCAACTAGTGGAGTTACACAGTCAAATTAGTCATCTGGTTGGACAGAAAAAATGCGTTAGGATGAACTTTTAGTACTGTTTTCTATTTAGCTGCCAGGAAAATGATCTGTTACTGGAAACACAGAACTGTTATTTTTACAGCATAAACTGTATTGTTATCTATGTTTTTATACACTGCTCTTGGTTTATACTATCAACAAACATTTAAATCACTAATTTGTTTATACATTTTTATAAATGAGATTTTTTTTTTGGACTTACCCCTGTATTTTCTTCCCGATTTTGGTCTGTCCCTTTCACACAATGCTGCCAATGCAATGCCATTGGACAGCTCAATGCAAGCTAACAGAAACTGTAACCCACATTAGCTGGCACTGAGCTGACTGATAGGGGCCTCTGAATATTTTTATATTTTCATTGATATATCATGAAAGAAGGTTTGATGTTCAACATAGCTAAATAAATTTAGATAAAGTTAAATAAATAAATAAATAAATAAATAAATAAATAAATAAATCCAGTTATATATTTTGGCCGAATCATTCAGCCTAATCCTGGATTACCCCTGCTCTGCATATTGTAATGTTTTCCTGCTCAAGCACACCCACTTCATTTCAGGAAACCTTGTCAATTAGTTACTTTTTTTAATCAGATGTGTTAGAGCAGAATCACCAAAGCATGCAGAGCAGGGGAACCAGGGCTGGGACTATTGTATTAGCATGTCAGAATATTTTTATAAACCGTATTTAAGGCCTTATAAAAAAAATATGTTTTTCCTCTCTTTGTTTCAGTGGACAGGATAATACAGGCCACTGTGAAGGTAATTCTCCAAAGAGTGTTATATTAACTGTGACATGAATAGTTTATGTAAGGTACATTCATGTTATTTTCCTCTCCAATTTACCGGCTCAGAGCAAGTGACACAGGCAGTGAACAGGTACAGTTTGTTGTAATGACATCTACAGTAAAAATATCATTTTTTCTAAAAGATTGAAAATGTTAAACATTTTCTTCAAATAGAATTAGTAGCCTGATGTTATTTTATGTCATAAATCTTACAGGAAAGAATCCTTTGATGACATGTGTGAATACTCCACAATACCAGAATTTAACGGTAACATCACTTACTCAAGTATCATGGGATTTACCTGAATTTATTACTTATATTTACAGTTTTGTCAGCCGTTCAATTGCAGCTACCTTTAAAATTCTTTTTTAACAAGGAATTAACTGTTCGGGGTTATTTGGGCAGGGGATGTAGGGAGAGGGGAATGCACCATAATTTAGACCAAGGATTGTAAATATTTACAACAGGGATCAGGAGATCTGGAGTCAACAAAACAGTAAGATCAAGGCGTATTCACAGAGTATAAACTGCTCTGTGTTTCCTAGAAGAGCTCATTTCTTCAGACATCACAGAACAACATCTAACTTGGACAGAAAATTTGGAATTTTCATTAGTCCAGTCATCAGAAATTCCATTAGTTTGCATAGGAGAAAAACTAATTCAGACATGTTGTAGTAAATTATGCAGTATTAAGAATGTAAATTTACATATAAATTGTAATAAAGTTATAGAAATATAATATTACTTCTAATTTCTGATATTATTTTATTCACAGTTAGCACAAGTCCAGGAGATGCTTGGTAAGTAACAACATCTCTTCTGGCTGCTGTTCTGGACAAAGATGTCTAGTCTTGGATTAAATAGCAAATCTTAAAACAGTAATGAAAATGTAAACATAATACAAGTGCTGATAATGTGACTTATTTGGTGAAAAATCTTGGTAACACTTTGTTTGAGGGCTACCTGCATAAGGACTTCATAACACACAAATAAGTATTAAATTATGTACTTATAAAGCAATAGTTGAGTATTTATGGACAGCCTATGCCATTAATTGCAACATGACATAGGATGTCTTATGAAGCAAATGTATTAAGCCTGACATTTTAAGGAGTTGAATAAGAGTGACAGACTATTATTCCTTTTGTAACATCTTATAAACTGAACTTTTCTTGTAAATATATACAATTTATACAGTGTTTTTATTTAGGCCTCTACAATGCCTTGTACAAGCTCAATCATTTGAGAAAGACATATTTATAACAGTGCTATAAAGGAAACAAACTGTCCATCATTTTAGCTTAAGGTCCTTTGTGTCAGTACAATGTTATTTACTTCATAAAACGTCTTATGTCATCTTGTGATTAATAACATTAGCTGCTCATAAATACTCAAGTTTTTATATTATGTTATTCAATGCTTATTCATGTGTAATTATGTAGGTAGCCTTCCAATAAAGTGTTATTAACATGTTTACTTAAACTCATTTCTCTCTGTCTAGTTATGCTGAGAGTGGAGTGTACAGTCTGGCTCAAGGCAGTGCTGTGTACAGCTTAGCAGAGCACCCTGGTTTGTATATATATTATGTGGATGTTCGTTGTCATAGTGAAATATGACAAATGTAAAATGGGTGATGCCTGTAGTCATGACCACAGTGTACATCTTCTATGAAAAGGTTTTAACTGTGTTCAAGAACTGCTTTAATGCATGCTGACAGAGGAGCTGTACACAGTGGAGAACATTAAGCTGTTTTTTTTTTTTCACCAGATGTGAAGATCGATTCAGAACAACCTTCTTCAGACGCTGTCTATGCAAAAGTACAGAAGAGGAAAAAGAAAATCGCTCATGATGAATTTTTTATGTATGAATAGTTGTATGAGCAGTTTTGTGCTTTATTAGGTAAAGACGTTTTGCGTTTTTGTAAAATGTCTTGAAAGGTTTGATTAAAGTCTTGAAGATCATATTCACTTATGTTATATAATTACATTTGGTTCATTAGACCTGCATGACACAGGAAAACTTCAACTTTTGTAAAAGCAGTAGTAATGAGCCCTCAGGTATTAATGATTTAAAAATGTCTTATTTTATTGATGATTTATAGTCTGTGTGTAAGCTTTAATAAATCAACATTGGAGTGCTCCTGTTTCACACAATTAGGATGCTGAAGAGTCCCAATCAGTACATCAATACACACACACACAAACACACACACACACGCACACACACACACACACACACACACACTTATTGACTGTATGCATGTAGATTGCAGTATTAGTATCTGAACACTTTTTTGTGCTTTGTTTTTTAGTCTTTTTTTTTCCTTTAGTTAATTTCATTTCATAAACTGGTGAACAGTTCAGTGAGTGCCTCCAAAATGTTGATAAATACTACTGCTACTGCTTAACCATGCAAATTTCTAATTCTCCACCATTAATGTTCATGGACATATTTATGTGTTTGTCATGTTTATTTCCTGTTTGTACACAGAACAATTATTATTAATTAATTATGATGTATATATGAGAGCTAGAACTTCAATTCAAGACCAATCACACTTTAAAAAGATCTATTAGATTCTTCAGCCAGACATTTTGGATCCACTGAATTCATATTTGTTTTTTGTTTTTTTTTTAATGCTGATAAATTTGATCTATGGCAGATCCATGTATAAAATGAAACACACATACACACACACACACACATATACGTTATTAATGCTGTGCCCTGCACTCAAACTTTGTACTTGCTGAAATATAGCATTACAAATGAAGAATATGACTGAACATTAAAATCACTGAATTACGAATGTAGGCAGTTTCTCACTGAGTGAACTACTTACGCACTTCTTTACTGCTGCCCTGAATTGCTGAGTGACAATTCTGGTTTTTCCATGTGAATGTAAGTGAAGGCTAACATCATTTTGAATCTTCCATATCTATCTATTCCATAGTTTGCAACTTTTTACTGTTTTACTCTACTTAGACAGCAGAATCAAACTTACTGGCGATATGTTTTTGTCAAAGTGAGGGTTGTGTACTGAACATTTCTGTATGTACAAAATACATTTGTATGCCCTTCAGTCAATAAACTCCTTCATTACATTTTGTTTACAAGTTTAAATTACACGGTCTTAATATTAAATGGAGGCCCAAGTGAGGTTATTCAGATGCAAAACAGGGACAAAACAGAGACCAACTGGCAAAGTAAATCACAGTAAACCTTAACTAAGTATATGATGACGAAAGGAGTGATGTAATCGGATGGTACTTTCTTACATCAGGTGCAGTCTGAGAAAAAAAGGTACTGAACTGTCACTGGGGTCGTACCCTCATGGTACCCTGTTTCATTGCAATTATATTTTTATATACATGCAATTATATAAGTTGCATTGACTCTATATGCCTTGTTGTGACTCCATCCTTTTTAATTTATTGTTCTGTTCTATAAAATGTGTACTTTCGCCCTGGGAAAACATATTTAAGGTATAAACTGTTCTACCTTTTAGGATACATTTACACTGTTTGAAGACCACAAATGTACTTGTACAGTATCCTTTGTTTCTGGCCACTTTATTGGCTACACCTACCTTGTATCCACACATATTGTCCATTTTAGCAGGTCCACAAATTTTAGATTGCAATCCATTTATTTATTTGTGCAAATTGTTAGCCCCACTTCAGCCCATTCATCAAAGGTCAGGGTCATTCTCAGCAATGCTTGACACTGACAAGGTAGTGGCATATTTGTTTGTGTTTTTGTTGGTACAAGGATTTTTTTTAAACACCTCACGTCCTGTTACCATGTGCAGCAGATCAGAGCTGTCATCTCTAACAACATCTATAAGGTGGACAAACAAGGTAGGAGTGTCTAAGAGTGGACAGTGAGTGGGAGCAGTGTTTAAAAGCTCCAGCAGCATCTCTGTGTCTGATCCACTCATGCCATAGGGGCTTTAAAGACAGGTTAGTAAATGATACAGAGAAACAGACGGATCACAGTCTGATTGTAGAACTACAATGTGTATCTATATGGTACACTGACCTGATAAAAATGGACAAAGAGAGTAGATTCAATGCAGGTGTACCTAATAAAGTGACCAGGGAGTGCATATCAATATTATATATAAATATTGGAATATTATATCAGACTATGGCATATCTTTTCACAGCTATGATATTCAGATTTACTTGGCCCTCAACTATGGTCCCCTTGACTCACTTTGTAAGTGCCTTGAACATATTAGTAACTGGATGGGACAAATCTTTCTGCAGTTGAGTAAAGATAAAACAGAGATCATTAGAGATGGGGGAAAAAATCAGTTCTTAGATTCATCGCAGTGCGGACGTGGACGATTCTAAATTGATTCACAAATGTCAAAAATTGATTTTCTACATTTTTATTTATAACGTAATGTTGACGGAACGCAAAAGGCGGATCTTGGAAGTGTGGAAGTGCAGCGCCCGGACAGTCTGTGGCGGCACATAACAAAAACACTACTGGATGAGCGAGAAATCCGACCGGCTCCCTCTGCATTAAAAGCTAGGTTGGGTCAGGAGTCGACAACACAAATGTTAAGAAGAGCCGTTTTGTCCTTTCAACAAAAATCAAACCACCTTTGAAAACTCAACATTTAATGCCCAATATGTCTCAGTATGTGCTGATGTCTTAGTATAGGTTAAAAAAAATAAACAAAAGCGCAGATTTACTTTGCTCTGCTTTAAGCTTTAGCTATAGCCGCTCTCCTCCCATCTCCGCCAGATAACTTTTCTTCAAAAGTAGATCAATTTCTTTTAAAACGTCTCTCTATGTTCAAGTCAGCTTTTTATTCTCCAGCTTCTCATCCGAATTTACCCGTTCCACCTTGAATTCTGCCTGAGGCGCCAGAAGGTAAATGCGGCACCATTTAAGGTGGAACGGGAAAATTCGAAAGAGAAGCTGACTTCATCTTAGCAACTTTTTAGTGTTTGACAGTCTCTCGTTGCAGATTCAATGTACCAGGACACCAACTGCGCTGCTTATAAATGCAAATAAGTCCATTCATCTCCGAATACTTGTCTTAAATCTCTCTCTTTGCCTTTTCGTTAGTGACTAGCTAGGCCAGACTCTCTGCATTGGTATGTGACCTGCAGTCTGCATGCCAACCTTCAGGGTTATAGGGTGGTGAATTAGCAGCGTTTAAGACCATCTACTGTTAAAACAGCGTTAGAACATGGACAAGGGCCATACTATATGCAAGTTGTGTCACACTAAACTAGAATATTTTGGAAATGACAAATATTAGAAACCATATTACATGTTTCCACCCGTTTTCTGTCCGGTTGTAGTTGCTGCCAACCAGATGACTATCGAGCAAGTGATGTCAAAACTTCCTCCCAACTCAGAAAGGGCGAAGCGAATTACAAACTCCATCGCAGCTTTTATTGCTTAGGATTTGCGTCCGTTCTCAGTCGTTGAGAACCAGGGCTTTCGCGCTATGTTGCACACTTTGGAGCCGAGATCCAGCGACCCGTCTCAAAGATATTTTACTGACACAGCGACCCTCCTACTCTTTACAACGAGACCAAAACCGAAGTTATAGCATTACTGAATAAAACGGGTAGGATAGCATGATTCGTGGACACCCAATGCCACAGAATTTATGTCACAGTAACAGTGCATTTAATCACAGATGAGTGGCAGCCAGCCTCTCATGTGCTCCAAACAAGAGCAGTGAATGAGAGCCTTCCAGTTCACTTGCCACATCACTTGTGTTTGATTTATTAATAAAAGATATTGGAAGTAAATTCATTATGGATCATTACAAATACTTTGCTTTAAAAGTACCGAGTCCTCACACAGTGAGAAAAAAGAAATCCTGTATAGAAAAAAAAGATGTATCAAGATGCATCGATAATCGTTTTATAATTGCATCGCAGCCCTCTGAATCATAATCGAATCGAATTGTGATGTGCCTAGAGATTCTCACACCTAGAGATCATTATATTAAGGAATAGCAGTAAGAGGCACAGTCTAGCTGCCTATCTGGATTCAAGAGCCCTAAAATCTAAAGAACTAATACGTAACTGTAGCATGGCATGTGCTTCCCCAGGCTCAAGGAGGACGCTGGAGGCAGGATTCAGTTTTGCAGCAGCCATGTTTCTTTAATGACACACCAAATAAAAACTCAAACCTACACTATGCTGGCCACTTTTCAGTGGCTTCAGTCAGCTAGACTTTTCAGTCTCTTACTCAAGCTTTTCAGCTCTTCCGTCTTTTGCTGCTGCTGCTGCTGCTTTTCTCTCTCTCTCTCTCTCTCTCTCTCTCTCTTTCTCTCTCTCGCTCCGCCTCCCGTCACTGCCCCCAGCTTGCAGCTCGGCCGTCTGGGTCGAACGTGAGGTGTGGTGAAGCGGCCTCAAACATCAACAAGATTATTTATAACTAAAGCAGACCTGGAGAAACTCATCCATGCCTTTATTTCTAGCAGGATTGATTACTGTAATGGTCTCCTAACTGGACAATCAAACAGCTTCAGTTGATTCAAAATGCAGCTGCCAGAGTCTCACTCAGAGTAGAAGAGAGGAACACATCACCCCCTTTTAAATCCAGGCTGAAAACATTCCTATTTGAGCAGGGTTTGTGCCACACCTCCAAAAGTGGTGGGGCAAAACATATTGTTTCAAAAAAAAAGGAAAAAAACACATCTGACTGAATGATGAATTGCCTGTCATTGTCATGCTAATGACATATAAACCTACTAAGAGGTGGGTAGTAACTAGTTACATTTACTTAAGGACAAGTGGTTCAGTAAAATATTGATGGATTTTCACTCTCCTGAGTATTTTTAAATCATATTACTTTTACTTCTACTAAAGAATATTA